ATGGATAAAGTCTGATTGATTGTTTCTTTGTTTTTACAGCTAACTTTCTGTCCACATCAAACCAGCAGGCGTTGGAGAAATGCTTTAGGATTCATTGCAATCATTGTGAATTTGAAGGTTATTTAAAATAAAGATTACATCATCATTGATTATTTGGTTCGGTTCTCTAGATCTTCTGCCTTTCAGCTTTGCCTTTTTTTATTTTCAAACATGATTTTTTTTTTTTTTCGTTTTGTCTTTACTCCATATTTTTTATTCTTTGTAATGTAAAGCTCTTGTCTGTTTTATTTTCAGTGATTGCATTAATGTTCATGAGTGTCTCTTTGTCGGATCAAAGAATGACAGCGATAAAAAATGGACGCAATAAAATCTGTTCAACACTATCTTGGATGTGATTGATTTAAATACAAGTGTTGTTCTGCTAAGGTAGCTGAAAAAACAAAAGTTCCTGAATGGGCTTTTGATTTGAAAGAACCAAAACTTGTCATAATATTTAATTATTTAAATACAAGCTGTTTTTTAATTGTTGTGGATGACATTGATTCTCTAAGTTGTTGGTCAGACCATTTAGTTTGCCAGTCAAGCCCTTTGGACTGGTTTGTTTCTGCAGAAATCTCAGAGAAAATCAATCAGAAAATGCAGATTAACCTTCGTAGTCTTTATTACCTTTGTATGAACAACAATCATAAAAAAACAAGCTGCTTTTACACCATTTTCACGCTCTTGATCTTCCAGCAGGTTTAAACTGAAGCCAAACATCAATCAGCACACGCATACAAAGTCAAGAGACCAAAGGACCATCCAAAGAAGCAAGGTTCAGATTAAAACGGTCTTCCAGTTTAAAACTAGCCAGCTAAACTGGTTTTATATATTTGTCATAGGATCAAAATACTTCCAACACAGCAATTTATCAGAAATTATTTGACTAAAGCTTGAGAGTCATAAGTGAGGTTTATGCCCGGTGTTCTCAAATATTAGTGCAACAGACTGGAAACCTTTTTTAAATTCAAAAATTTGTATTAATTTGATGGGACATTAAGATCTAAAGAGATCTGCGTATTTTACATTTAATTTAGGTATTTTAAGTAATCTTGTGGAACAAAAACAATAATGTCACATCTATTAATTTCATTGGACATTCACATTTATATATTTCATGATAAATGTTGGCCCTCAGAGATCACTTCACAATTAGTGTGAAAACTACTGATGGCTTCATGGGACCTCATGAAACATTTGGACATATTTGCAAACTGTATTGATATTCTGTTACTGAACCCTAACCCTGCCTGACATTTTAAATCCCGAAAGGCTATTTAAGCCTGGATAATATGATCAAATCCATTGTTTAATGTATTATATTATATATGTAGTTTGAATTGAAAATATGTTTGACTTTTTTTTATCCAATCCATAAATGTGAGCATAAAATGGGAAAAATGAAAGTGAACATGTGAATAAGGGTGTGGACTATTTTATTTTTTTAAGGTATTGTGGCTTTCCATTTTAAAAAAAGAATGCGCATGCAAGAGTGTGCATGAGCCCATTTCTCCTCGTGCACGCCCTGTTTAAAATGTGCTGTTCACATACCTCTTACAAGCTTACTGTCCACATACAGCGGGGACTATATAGTGGACTTTATAGCCAACTCGCTTAACTTACCGTTCGGAAGGATGATCACTGCTTTTTGCTCCCCCATTGGTCACGTAACCCCTCCTCCACTACGTGGTGCCTGCTCCATCTTTATGAGTCGCCACTGTCAGGCTGCTGTGACAGCAAATCCCATAATGCTTTGCGAGGAGAGCTCTGCGCAAAGCAGTCTGGGATATATCTGCCTCTTCTGAGGCCTTTCTTTTCTTCTCATAATTCTCTGA